AATTGTTCAATATACATGTTCAAATTAAAATTCTCTCCATTCAACATCTAAATACATATTGCATCACGATACCTGAATTCCTTCACAGATCCATACATGCTTGTATACTTTACAATTCAAGAATATACATTTACTTAAAAAAATTACAGGAAGTCATGTGGTTATGTAAGTTTGGAAAAGAAAAATGCAGCTAATAAAAATGGACAATGGGTTTGAAGGTATATCGAATGACAAATTCGTTTTTCTACTACCCCATTTCTTGTTTTTTTGAATTTAAACCAATGCTTATAAGCACAATGTCACAAATTTATTAGAATTGAATGTTTAACATCCTATATGAGTGAACAGACAAGTAACAGAAATATTTCATTATTAAGCCAACATGGTTTTAAAAAATTTTTGAAGCAATTAAATAATTTAAGAAACATTTTCACTGATCAAACTATAATTTCTGAAAATAATTACAATTCAGTCTTTCACATACTTTTGTTTATGCAAACAATAAAAACAGTTTGCAAGAATAAACCAACCTACAAATTGTTATTTTCAACAAATGCCCTCAGCAATAGAAAAACATTTTACATTGCAGTATTTTACTTCAGAAAATTGTTAAATGTATGGATTGTGGATCACATCCATTGCTAGGTAAACATGGAATAATAACTTGTTTCCATTTTTGGATTCTAATATTAATAAGTAAGAAAAATTCTCAAGAATTCACAAAAAGATTGAATAAAAGTACATGTACAAAGAACAAGGTGGAATTGAAGTAAATTAAACAAATTCAATCATCAACCTGGATAAAGTGAACACGTGTAATAAATGGAAAAATAAAACTGGCAGTCTTACATAATAAATCATGCAAAAATTCATACACACACACAGACACGGATTCTCAACATTATGAACACTGCCGAGGCAGAACACAAAAATTGAAAACAAAACTCGCGCTTTTTTTAGTTTAATTACGTTCTCTTCCTTGCAGAAAAAACAAGGGTTTTGTTGAAAGTCTTAGTACTACTCCTGCTACTATACTACAATTTGACAATACTGTTTTAAATGAACTGAAAAATTTCGGTATGTAATGTTGAAAACAATTAATATGTACAAACAATTATATTTAAAAAAGGAGGAACTTGATTTGAATGTAAAATTTAGGATTCAAATAATAAATTTCATATGGTCAAAGTGCTATCTTCTTGAATATCTTTGGATTATTAATATAAGTAATACTTAAAAATACTTCACAATGAAGTGAGTTTCAGTTGTAAATATTCAAGCAATACAAAAACAAACTAAATGTGGAAAACCAGATAATTCCTTCTTTTATATATTGTTAAAATGACCACTTAGAATAGCGTATTACTTCTGTAAAATAGTGCATATTGTATGTGTATATTATATATAT